ATACAATTGCCTCTTCGACTGTGAAGTAGTGTGCGTTCGGTGCATGCCCCCAGGGGTATCGAAGACGCCGAATCCTTTATCCTTTTATATTTCGAAAAAATTTTTTACATGCAGTACGACTATTTTTCACACTTCCGTGTCAAAAAAAGATTCTTCACTAATTTTCACCTAGATGAAAAAAGGTATGGCGCAAATTAATGAGTGGTCTATCTATAGATTGTTTGAAAAATTATTTTGTTTTTTAATGCAAACTTTCACAAAGAGTTATGTTGTTTATAGAAGATTTTTTGAGGGTAAGTAGTTCAAAGCTTCTACTATCACATGTCAACCAATCGGGAGTTTCATTATCAGTAAAATAACTATGCTTTAATGCGTCCATATTTCCAAAAGCTCAGTTCTAAAACTTTGCAGGCTTCGTATTCATGCTGCACTGGATGGGAGTAAATTGATATTTGGATCCAGCAAATTTTTCTCTATTTAGAGAATAGTGATAGTATGTGATATGCTACTTCGTAAATCTTTCTCTCAAAGACCGAATTTTCCAAAACTTGCGCACAATGAGAAACTGGGGTTTCTCAATTTTTGCTCTCGTTTCTACACAAACAACATCTGCCTTCCAACTCTCATTGAAATGCTCTTTCCAAAGATAAAGTTATCTACAGCATCTGTGAGAGCCGCAATAATTTTTCAAGCAAATTACAATGACAACACTTTCACAGCTTATTTTCTGATCTCTTGTGTCAGAAGATCGGCTTGTCTGGAAAGTTCTGCAACAAAGACAGCGGAATATCAACTAAAAAAAACAGAAAAACTCTAAAATTACGAAGGAAACCACATTTTGCCTCTTGGACTTCTCATCATTTCCTTGAAGCAAATGCGCTCACAAAATTGGTGATTGTGTCATCTCAAGGCTCAAAACTCAATCAAGAGAAGCGCTCGGGACGCTTGAGATAGTTTGGGAACGGGGCAATGTTCTTGACTTGTGAAAGAAGTAATCTGTCAGCTGCTATTGAATGTAGGTGAGATTTAGATATGGTCAGTTTATCAAAGATTAACAGGACGGAAAGCAGCCACGATATCATGGATAGGAAGCTACCACAATAGCACGCGTAAGCACAGAAGTTAGCTTTGAGCATAGATATGGAATTTTACAAATACCGGTCTTCAGGTTATCTGCAGCCGCATTACACTATACCGTTCAATAACAATATGAATCTAGACGACAAATTTGACCAGGTAAATTACATTGTAAAAGCACCGGAAAATTTTGGCTTTATACATAAATAATAAATACATATATGCGAAAATCTGATTGATAACATTGTGTTGTTGGCAACAATAGAATGCCTTTTCTGTAAGAGTCCAGCAGAGGTGAAGTCGAAACCTCCAAATTTTCACATTTTTAGAGTTCAGAAGTAGCGAAGTCAGAATAAAAAGCTGTTAAAGAGTAATGCAGATGACACTGTTCTAACAAAGTAACAGTAAAGTATTTGAAAGACGTAGAACGGAGCTACAAAAGTGTTTTCTTTCAAAACTTGCAGATGTATTCCTCTTTGAATGCTAGATTTAGGTGGTCAAATGGCTCAAGCTTGACGAAGATGAGAGGCCTGGCCTAATCATGACCTATGTTTCAGAAATAGATTTTGCAGGACATCGAGTATCAGGTTTAGAGGTAAAATGTGAAACCTCCATAAGTGACAAGCTTTAAAAAATTCATTCAGTTGGATGCAGCAATAAAATCGGTAGACGAATCTATTGAACGTTTTTTGCGAAAATTAAGCAAGAAAGGCATGCTGAATTGCGTAAACCTAGTCATACTATCTGATCATGGTATGTGCCACTTCCCCGACTATCCTCCACTGTAGCAGTGTGTTACCTCAATCAAAAATGATTTAAGGAATGGCAGAGATAAAGGAACGTGTTGTACTGGAGGAATTGTTCGACATAAATGGTCTTGTAATCTTCCAAGGTGCTACAACTTTGATATTTCGAAATGGCTCCAGTGAGTTGTTTTCGCAAAATTTTAGTTGTTTGACTTCAGAAGTTATAGAAATTCGTATCTAAATCGTATTTTTGCACGTGTCATGGTGTTTCTAAACATTTTTGTAGGTTAAAAATGTAAACATGCCAAATTTTGCTTAATCGCATGATCTTAGAGCAGCTCCAAATCGCAATAATTCAATTTTTTTTCAATTACAGCACTGACCGACAAGGAAATCCTGAACACATTGATATGCAAAGGAACAGATCACTTTCGTGCTTTCAACAAAACCACAGTTCCCGCCAGATGGCATTTTAGCAATTCAAGAAGGATTGGTGATCTCATTGTTCTTGGGAAAAGAGGATCTAGAACATATGTGTAAGTCTTTGGCATATCTTTATCCATACTTCCACTTCATCCGCTTCGAAACAAAAGAATCAACACGTCGCCTTTCGAATTCACAAATTTCGTGCTTGAAATTCGCCTGTTCTCTAACCAGTCACCATTGCAGTCATCGAGCGGATGTAAAAGGAGATCATATTGGTCGTCACGGTTTTGATTTCATTGAACCTGATATGCATGCCATTATGTT